ACTGCTTCACTCTTATTGCTTGTTATAGATCTAATTAAGTAGTTTTTATCCTCTTGGTTCAATTTTGGTAGGCCAAAATTGAATAAACTAGAAAATCTACTTTTTCTAGTTTATTCAAATATAGGTTTTCAAACCATTCCCTCATGATCTTCTGTATTTCATTGGCATTTATTGTGATATCCCTTTTTTTAATCTCCAATTTTATTAATTTTGGTCATTTACCTCCTTTTTAAAATCTGGTTGTCCAAGTGTTTATCAATCCTATTTATCTTTTGGAAGAGCCAACTTGGGTTTCATTAATTTTTTAATGTACTTTTTGTCTTTATTTCATCAATTTCTGCCATAATCTTTATATCTTTCCATTTGCTGACTTTGGGTTTGCCTTATATTTGTTTTTCTAGGAACTTTAGATAGATCATTACTTTTTGAGATAGATAATTACTTGAATAGATCATTATTGTTTGTTTAATGAAATTGTGTGTATAGACATTTGATACAAATATGTTAACAATTGTTATTTCTTCTTGATGGATTTTTTTTAATTAATGTGACATGACCTTCTTTGTCTCTTCTAACTAGTTTTGATTTGAAGTCTACTTAGTTAGACATGAGTGTAGCTACTCCTGCCTGATTTTGGGGTCCGTTTGCTTAGAAAACCTTTTTCCAGTCTTTCACTCCCTAAGCCAACATGTGCCAATGTTTGTCTTTTCAGTGAGATTTGTTTCTTGTAAGCAACAAGTGATCAGGGCTTGGTTTTTAATCCAACTCACCATTCTGTGTCTTTTGAGACCATTAATATTCAGTGTTAATATTGAAAGGTATGTAGTAATTCCTGTCATTTTGTTTCTTTTTTAAAAAAATATTTGATTTTTTCCTACTTTTCATTTGCTATCTACTCCTCTGGTGAGATTAAATTTTTCCTATATTTTCATTGTTACATTTATCTTCCTCTTCTGTGTGTGATTCCTTTGAATATCTTCTGCAGTGCTTGTTTAGTGCTGTTATTCTTGAATATTTTCTGTGTCTCAAAGGTTCCATATAGGATCTTTGTTTTCCCAGAGACATGAAACTGCTTGCAACAGTTTTTGATTAATTATCTGAAAATGTTCAGACTTCTAGGTAAAGAATCCAAAGTTGGAAAAAATTTACATTTGTTTTTCTCAGTATTGTGAAAATGTCATTCCATTATCTTTTGACTCTGTTTAGAAGTTAATTGTAAATCTCATTGTTGCCTTTTGAGGACATTTTGCTTTTTTCTTCTAGCTTTTCCCCACCATCTCTCTTCACACCACTCTACCCCCACACAGCATCTGCAATAATTTGCTACATGTGTTATATTAGCAAAGCAATATCGATACCTTATTATTAAAGTCCACAGTTTATATGTAAGTCACTCTCTGTGTTGTACAGTTCTGTGGGTTTTGACAAATGGATAATGGTGTGTATCCACAATTATAATACTGTGCAGGGTAGTTTCAGCATTCTAAAGAAATCCTGAATGCTTCACCTATTCATCCACATCCACAGCAACTGGTAACTACTGTTCTTTTACTGTATGTGTACAGTTTTGCTTTTTATAAAATGCCATATAATTGAAATCATATAATATGTAGTCTTATATACTTGTAGATAATTTCATTTAGCAATATGCATTTAAGATTCCTCAAAGATTTTTCATGACTCAATAACTCACTCCTTATTAATGCTGAATAATATTTAATTATATGATTGTACCAGTCTGATTATCCATTTACCTTTGAAGGATATTATGGTTGCTTTCAGTCTTTGGAGATTATGAATGAAGCTACCATAAACACTCATGTTCAAATTTTTGTTTGGATATAAGTTTTCAACTCATTTGTATAAATACATAGGAGTGTGATTGCTGATTGCATGGTAAGACTGTTTAGTTTTGTAAGAAACTGCCAGTTATGTCAGTTTTGGGGATTTGTAGGTCTTCTGTGTGAGCAGTGGTATCTCTTTGTTGTTTTAGTTTGCAGTTTACTAATGGTATAGAATGTTGAGCATCTTGTGCTTACTTGCCATCTTCATTGGTGAGGTGTTTGTTCAGTCTTTTGCCTACTTTCTTTTTTTTTTCTTTCTTTCTTTATTTTTTCTTTTTTAATTTTTTAATTTTTATTTTTTTTAATTCATATATGCATACAATGTTTGGGTCATTTCTCCCCTCTTCCCCCATCCCCTCTCTCTCCCCGCCACCCCCTCAGTACCCAGCAGAAACTATTTTGCCCTTATCTCTAATTTTGTTGAAGAGAGAGTATAAGCAATAATAGGAAGGACCAAGGGCTTTTGCTAGTTGAGATAAGGATAGCTATACAGGGAGTTGACTCGCCTTGATTTCCTGTGCATGTGTGTTACCTTCTAGGTTAATTCTTCTTGATCTAACCTTTTCTCTAGTTCCTGGTCCCCTTCTCCTATTAGCTTCAGTTGCTTTAAAGTATCTGCTTTAGTTTCTCTGCATTGAGGGCAACAAATGCTATCTAGTTTTTTAGGTGTCTTACCTATCCTCATACCTCCCTTGTGTGCTCTCTCTCTCGCTTTATCATGTGATCAAAGTCCAATCCCCTTGTTGTGTTTGCCCTTGATCTAATGTCCGCATATGAGGGAAAACATACGATTTTTGGTCTTTTGGGCCAGGCTAACCTCACTCAGAATGATGTTCTCCAATTCCATCCATTTACCAGGAATGATAACATTTTGTTCTTCTTCATGGCTGCGTAAAATTCCATTGTGTATAAATACCACATTTTCTTAATCCATTAATCAGTAGTGATTAACAGCATCTTGGCTGTTTCCATAAGTTGGCTATTGTGAATAGTGCTGCAATAATCATGGGTGTGCAGGTGCATGGGTGTGTAAAAGACTGTGTCATAGTCTTTTGGGTATATCCCCAAGAGTGGTATTGCTGGATCATATGTTTAGCTTTTTAAGAAGCCTCCAAATTTTTTTCCAGAGTGGTTGTACTAGTTTACATTCCCACCAGCATTGTAAGAGGGTTCCTTTTTCCCCTTTTGCCCACTTTCAGTTGAATGGTTTGTTTTCTTATTGTTGAGTTTTAAGACTTCTTTATATATTTATTATATAAGTCCTTTATAAGGTATATGTTTTGCAAATGTTTTCTCCCTGTGTCTTTTGCATGTCTTAACAATGTCTTTCACAGAGAAGAACTTTTGATTTTTACTAACCACAGCCTTTTCTTTTATACATTGTGCTTTTATTTTATATCTAAAACCTAGTCACTAAACCCAAGGTCACTAGATCCTCTCTTATATTATCTTTTCAAAGTTTTAGTTTTACACTTTACCTTTGGGTCTAAGATCTGGTTTGTGTTCATTGTTTTGGTGTAAGTTCTGTGGTAGACTCCTTTTCTTTTTACTTATGGGTGTCCAGTTGTTTTAGCACCATTAGTTTTAAAGACTGTCCTTTCTCAATGGAATTGCCTTTGCTCCTTTGTCAAAGTTCAGTTGCATACATTTGTTTGGGTTTATATCTAAGCTCTCTATTCTGTTCCATTGATCACTTTGATTATTCTTTCTCTGGTACTATACCACCTTAATTACTACAGCTTTACAATAAATCTTAAAGTCCATTAGTATCCAGCTATTTTAAAGAATTTTTCTGTTTGCCTTTGGTGTACAGTTTTTCCAATGATGTGAAGAGGTGTTTGGTAGAGTTTTAAAAAAATTTTTTTCCTCCTTGAAGACTTGTAATACTTCATGAATCACTGCTGGATTTTGCTTATAAATTTTGAGGAGCTCATAGCCATAATTCCCTTGAATACAGCTTCTACCTAACTTCCTCCTCCCTTCATGAAATGTAAAGTATAACATAACTGGTCTTTCCACTATGTGCTCTACATCTTTTGTGAGCTTTCACATAATTTTCATTTTGTGCTTTCTTCTAGATATTTTCTCTGACCTGTCTTCTATTTTATGATTTCTTTGTTTGGCTATGTTTATTCTGCTTTTAAACTCATCTGTTTATTTAATCCCAATTATTGTAAGATTTAGTTAGAAAATTTCAATTGGTTTTTTACTGACTCCTGGTGCTGTCCTGGAGTTTTCAATCCTATTATTTTCCTGACCATGTCAATGATAGTTTAAGTTTATGTCTGATGATGCCAGACATGTTTTTGAATGGTCTGCAAGCTACAAATGGTTTTTACATTTCTAAAGAGTTGTAAAAAACAAGAAAAAGAAAAATATTACAACAGAGACTGTATGTGGTCCACAAAGCATAACATATTTACAATCTGGTCGTTTATGTTGCAAGCATGCTGATTCCAGGTCTACATTCTTTGTAGATCTGTTTCTATAGATAACCTTAGTGATAATGTCTTATTTCTTCCCAATAGTTGTTTATTTTTAAGGCTAAATTGTTATTTATCTTTCTCCAGAGAAGTTTAAATTTGTTTGTATCAGGCAATTAAAGGCACTAACACATCTAGAATTATCTTCTTGAAATTTGATTGAGAGAATTCAAAATTGTTTTCAGTCTTTCTAAGGGCTGTTTGATTTCTGGTTCATTCATAGTGTAGTCCTTTGAAGCCCTACGCCAAAGTCTGGGAATGTGCCAGACTTCCCCTTCTTGGTGTGCCCTCACTGCTGAATCTGTTGAGATGCTTGCTCAGGTTGTTGGTCTCTCAATTGCCTGTCAACCAGAGCAGGTATCTGCTTCTGTTGGAATTGGCAGATACTTCCTGGAGAAAGTATAATACAGTGTGATCTTTTTCCTAGTTTTATTTTCTTAATTCATGCTGATAATCTGTTTTCATACAGATGTATTTTATACTTTTATACTTTTATTTATGTATTTATATTTTTCCTAGAGCTAGAAAGTTTTCCCTTGGAAGATTGGTTCAAATTTTCCCTACCACTATTAGTAATATAACTTTCCTTTTTATATTTACTTTATCTATGAATAGTGAATTATTTGTTTTCAACAGTTTTTTTAACTCTTAAATTTTCATATCTTTATTTCAGATAGCCTCATTATTTCCTATGTATGTTGTGGGATATATTGAGCCAAGCAAGTTTCAGAAGATTATTTATATGAACATGGTAACATTTTGATATTTATAAGTCAAATATTAAAACATATCCTCAGTTTGTAAAACATAACTAATTCTGTTTTATGGAGCATTTCCCTTTTGGTGGCATCCAGAAGAAAAACTGAAAAGTACGTTACAGATGCTGTACTACAGCACATTATGTCTTCAAATAGAGTGCAGATGTATCATAATCTTTCAGACTTCTATGTTTTTGTCTTTGTTTTATTATTATCATTAACTTGAAGCTGTTGTTACTCCTTTAGAACTGATTTTTTAACATTTTGCATAAATTTGACACTCTATAACTGAAATTATATATTGTTGCATTCTTGTTTTACCTCAGTTTCCAAACATATCTTTTTGAAAAATAAAAAATATAATGAAATAGAGCTTCATAAGTTATGGAAATCTTGAAGTAAACCAACAAAAATATGATTAGGGAAGCTAATATTTATAATCAAGTTTTATCATATTATTCCACTATGGAAACTATAGAAATAATGGAGTTTTAAAAGCTCTTCTTTGTCTAAGTAGCAGGTCTGGATAGAAATTAAATTCTGTTAACATGGAATTTGTGTTCTTGAGTTTTAGTGCTCTATATAATAATAACTATCAAATGTGTCATATTTTTCATTTTTCAGGTTTCAGTTATCCTTTGCTTCATTCTGATGTTTGGAAATCCAATGTACTTATCCTCATATTACTCTTCATCTTTGTTGATGACATGGGTAAGTGTTTGTTAAGTTTGTGAAGATTGTTTTGCCTGTCAGTAGCAGGTTTATCTGTATAATGGAAGTGTAGAAAAATAAATAGGGCCCTTTCTTGATTATCATTCATGTGAAAAACTTTCATTGTTGAAAAATGGTACAGTAGAAAGTTTTCCTTTTTATGGTAAATATTTAAAAGCAATCATAAGCTAAGGAGATTTATTTTAAAAGTATCCTGTAATTTATGGTAAAATGGCTTATTTTCTCTTAACTCATTTGTTACAGTAATACTGTGATTGCTCACAATACTTTTGGAACTCCTTGAATTGCCTTCACAGACTTTGGCACATTCTTTTGAATATCCTCAGTGATGTCAGATCTTTATCTCTGAAGGTTGGATTTGGCTTTGGGAAATGACCAAAGTCTTTAAATAAAGTATAGAATTTGACTGGATAGTCCAGATGTTGGTCAAAATATGACATAGCAATGAAGTAGCAGGACTAATTTTCTTAGCCTATAACTAATTTTCTTATACCCATAAGCGAAGTTTAAAAAGTGTAGTTCCAAAATGTTTTGAACAATGGCAAAATAATTAGAATAAATGTATAGTTTATTACAAATCTTTTTTTGTTTGTTTGAGCTCAGGGCCTATAACTTGAGCCACTCCACCAGCCCTTTTTCTGTAAAGGTGTTTTCGAAATAGGGTCTCTTAAACTGCTTGCCTGAGCTGGCTTCGAACCACGATCCTCCTGATTTGTGCCTCCTAAGTAGCTAGGATTATAGGCATGAGCCACCAGTGCCTGGCTACATATCTTGGATATGTATTTGGAATTGTAGTTCAGGAAGCCAGTTTTATTACTTTTAGCCACACTTCTGATATCCTAAACTAGAATTTGGAATATTCTGTACAATTTCCACCCTGATCAGAGAGGATCCCACCCACAGTAATGCCAAAATACAGTAATTTTCCTCCTGTGAAGCACTATTGAAGATTGTGCTTGGATTTGAACCTTTTTTGCTTCCTACACCCTTTTTTTGCCTCGTAGTAATGAATCCCTTCACTTTCTCCTCCCCGCCCCCAAACATACGCTGCTCTTTTCAACATTGAATTTTTTTTTCAGCATTACAAGCTGGTAGTGCTCACATACCATCTACCTTATCAGAGTAGTTAACCTGCAGAAAACACCCAGTATAGCTCAGTGTTAATTTAATTCAGTTAATATTCAATTAAATTTAATGCAGAAGCACTCACTTCAAAGAATTATATCATGTCCAAAATTTGAAAAGTTAGCAGCTAAAGAGGAAAATGACTGGTGAGAGTTAATATGGAAGGGCATGGCTCAACCATTTGAAATGTTGTATTAATATAAAACATGTAATACATATAAAATATATATGTTAATTTCATTTACTGTCATATGTATTATAGGCAATAATTCTAAAGAAAAATAAAATTCAAAGATTGGGAGTATCTGAACTCAACTTTTGGGTAAGAATCAATGTTTTTAACACTATTTTATTGGCGTATATTAATTGTACAAATTAATGGGCTTACCATAAGAAGGGTAATGGGGAAGGAGGGAGAATAATGGAGGGAATAAACCAATTCAGGATATAATACATGTGAATATGGAAATATCACAGTGAAACCATTGTAAAATTAATGTAAACTATTAATATTTTAAAACAAAGAAGGACAGAAGGTAAAACAGGTCCTGTCTGTCCAGGGCTGGGTGCTAGTGAGTGGGGGGACAATAATGAAAGCAAGGAGAATGAATATGGTGGAAGCATTTGTATTCATGTATGAAAATAGAACAATGAAAGCTGTTGAAATTGTTCTAAGAAGGGGAAGGGGATAAAGGAGAGCATGAAGGGGGTGAATCTAATTAAGATATATTTATTATACACACTATGTAAATATTATAATGTGCACCCTGTACAACTATAATATAATAGGAAGGGAGGGAGGGAGGAAGGGAGGGAGGGAGGAAGGAAGGAAGGAAGGAAGGATGGAAGGAAGGAAAGAAAGAAAAAAGTAGTGAGCTTCATTGTGACATTTGCACACATGCACAATGCACTTTGGTCATATTCATCCTTCTAGTGCCTTTTTTACCCTCCCTCCTCCTCCCTTTCTCCCCTTCCACATCTCTAATACTTTCTGTTTTACTTTTTGTGTCTTTCCCCCTTAATTCTATAAATGAGAGGAAGCACATGGTATCTATCTTTCTGAGACATCCTCACCGACATTTTTTTGTGTTTTTGTTTTCTTCTCTGTCTCAATTTTTTGCAGTATTGAGTATTGAACTCAAGGCTCACATATGCTAAGCAAGAACAATACCACACACACACACACACACACATGAATACATATGTTTATATTAGGTCTAGTTTTCTCATGAGAGAAAACATGTGACCTTTGTGTCTCTGAACCTGGATTACTTTGCTTAGTGTGATGATCTCCAGTTCCATCCATTTACCTGGAAATTTGTAATTTCATTCTTTTTATGGCTGAATAATACTCCATTGTGTAAAGAAACTCTATTTTCTTAATCATTCCAATTGCAGGGCACCTGGCTGTTTCCATGAATTGGCTATTGTGAATAGTGCTGCAATAAATGTGGTCGTGCAAGTGTCTCTATTGTATTCTGACTTACATTACTTTGGGAATGGTACTGTTGGATCCTGTGGTAGGTCTATTTTTAGTTTTTTGAGGAATCTCCTATGGTTTTTCATAGGTTGCACTAGGTTTATGTTCCCACCAATAGTGGATAATGTTCTTTTCCCCCACATCCTTGCTAGCATTTGTTTTTGTTTGTGTTCTTGATGGTGGCTATTCTGACTAGCGTGAGGTGGATGGAAGCTCATCGCCATTTCAATTTGCATTTCCTTTATGGACAACAAGTTGAGCTTTTCACATGTACTTACTGGCATTTGTACTTCTCCTTTTGAGACCTGTCTATTCAGTTCATTTTGTTAATTGCATAGTTTGTTCTTTTGGTGTTTAATATTTTGAGTTTTTTGTGCATTCTGGATACTAATCCTTCATCCATTGAATAGCTGGCAGAGATTTTATCCCACTCCGAGGATTGTCTCTTCATTCTGGTAATTTTCTTCCTTTCATGTGCAGAAGCTTTTAATTTGATGCAGTCCAAGAATTTGTCAATTCTTGCTCACATTTATTCAGAAATTAGAGTCCTATTCAGAAAATAATTGCCTGTGCCTAAATGTTCAAGTGTTTTTCCAATGTTTTCCTATAGTAGTTTCAGAGTTTCAAGTCTTACATTAATATCTTTGATCTATTTTTAGGTGATTTTTGTGCAGAGTGAGAGATAGGATCTAGTTTAAGTCAAGATGCTGTCTTTTCTCTAATGTATATATTTGACTCGTTTGTCAAAAATCAGAAGGCTATAGCTATAGCATGGTCTTGTTTTTGGGTCTCCTATATCATAGGTCTATATGCCTGTTTTTATGCCAGTACCAGGCTGTTTTTGTTACTGTGCTTCTGTAATATAATTTGAAATCCAGTATTGTGATACCTGTAGCGTTGATCTTTTTGCTAAGGATTGCTTTGGCTATTTGGGGTCTTTAGCAGTTTGTGTGTGTGTGTGTTGTGTGTGTGTGTATGCTAGGGATCTTAACAAAGTTTCCAGAATGTCATAGGAAGTTAGAGTCAATCATACTCAATCATACATGCAGTATATTGCCTTTTCAGATTGGCTTGTTTCCCTTGGAAATGAGAGGAGACCTATAAAGCTATACAGAAGACAGAATAAGGTTCTTCCATGTCTTTTTATGGTTTGATAGCTCTTTTGCTGTTAGTGTTGAATAATACTCATTGAAACAGTTTCTTTTATGTACTAATGGACATCTTGGTTACTTTCAAGGTTTGGTAATTGTGTACAGATCTATAAATAAATAAAAGAAAAAATCCTGAAAGCAGGTAGAGCAAAATGACACATTACCTATCAGTGCAAAGCTGACTTCTTTAAAACCATGGATACCAGCAAGAGGTGGTATAATAATACTTGTTAAATACTGAGGAAATGGCAGCCAGGAATCATGCACCTGGTGAAAGTATTCTTTAGGAGTGAAATGGGAATGAAGTCATCCTTTATTAAGGAGAACTAAGAGAATTTGTTGTCATCAGAGAACCTCTTAAAGAATGGTTAATTAAAATTCTTGAAACAAAGGATCAATGAGAAAGGGGATCTAAGGAAAGTAGGGAGAAATAAAGGGCAGAAAATGTACATTTATGGAGAGAAATAGAATAGACTTCTATTCATGAGGGTTTCATATGCATTCTTTTGGTCTGTTATTTCTTAATGTAGCATTTTGAATCAAGGAATTAGTTAAGTAATTTTCCCCAATTCATATTTATTGACACAAATTTTTTGGCCATGAATTTTTTTTTCTGATCATTGCTCTAAATGTATCCCTTAGTTTCTAAAATAGAACTCTTACCTTCCTGGTACACTCTTGCGACCCTTTTGTTTTTCTCCAGTTTTAATATGTCTTCTTAAGCATGTATTAGCACAGTTTGGGTCTTGCCTTGCTTTTTCAGATCATTTGAAGATCTTTGTTATAAATTTTATGTGCCTTTTATTGTATTTACTTTTTTTCTATAGGATTTTTATTTTTGACTATCTTTCATATTAGGGAAGTTATTTCCTCAATTATTGCATATTTGAAATGGTTTTTCTATAACTTTATAGCTGATGACAGATTGTATGGATATAAGGTGTTGGTTCATAAACTTTATTGAGTTTCTTAAAAATGGTTCTGTTGCTTTGTTTTGTAAGTTTCTTTTAACAAGTGTGATGCTAGCCAACTTTTCTTGCCTGTAAGGTCTGAGAAAATTTTCTTCACTTTGAATAGTTCACTAGACTATGTCTTGAGTTAGGTTACTATACCTAGATCTATTTTTGCCAGTACCTACTGGGACCTTTCCAAATGTGAACTCATGTCATCTTTTATTTATAGAAAATTTCCTTGTATTATAATTTAAATACTAGCTAATAGTCATTGCTTTGCTTTGCTTTTTCAGAGACTCCAGTTATAAGTATGTGCTTATCTTCCAGTTGTATTTCTTCTTCTGATCTTTTCTACTTAGCTCTGACCTCCTTTTCATTATTTATGGTTATTTTATTAAAATTTATTTTAAAATCTCCTTTAGGCATTTTGCGATTTAGTATTCAGTTTTCAATGATATTTTCTTTTCTGTGTTTCATATACTTTTTATTTCTTTCTAATTTTTTCCCATTCTGTTCTTAGATTTTTGAATTCCTTATACAAGCAGCTTTTGGACATATTATACTTTTAAAATACCTATCTGTTCTCTTATTTGAGGATATTTAATTCAGCTTTTATTCTGCATAATATATCTGTCCTACTTTATGAGTTCTTTGTTGTTTGGCGGTGTGAATTTCATCAGCTGAAATATTTGAATCCTATGTTTGTTATCTTCTTAGGAAGCTTTGTATAGATATAGAGGCATGTTTCATCTAATTGTTTTGTGTGCCAGAATGGTGTTTTCAAGTCCAAGTGCAATCTTCTTTTATCCATGTAGTATAGTGTTGCTTTTTTTCAATGAACATACTTTTTTTCCCCTTCCTCCCCCATCCTTCTTTCTGTTTCTAACTTCCTTGCTTCTTTTCTTTTTCTGTGTTTTTGTGATGGCAGCTGTCCTTTAGCATGTTTTGATTTTTTTTTTTTTTTGCTTCTCATTTGTCCTGCTGGACACCAAAATTTCCCTTGCATCTTCTTATTTCCTTTATCACCTTTTTTCAGGGCATGCCTCTTCCTTTTTACCCTCCTTTCTTTTCAGAAGAAATTTCTGAGATCTCCATCTTTTAATCCCTGCTCTGTGGTCCATTCTCAGTCTACCAGGACTCTTTTTCACACTTACAGTGGGCTTTCTCTTTCTCATAGTACTTGAGTTCAGTCTTGGGCCTTTACTTCCCTCTTCTGTCTTCTTAATAGCTTTACAGGTCTCCCCTCATTCTCTGCAAAGGCTTGAGTCAGGAACTTGAGGTATAACTCCAATGTGTTTGTTTTCTTTTCTACTTATAGTTAATGTGAAGTTTATACTATTACCTGTTTTCTGTTTTTGTGATTGTATTGTTCTCCTTGTTGGATGATATGTAAAGAGATCTGGGTTTAGACTGCTAGAATTTTCCTGAGGCACTAGTCAGTAGTCTGCATTTCTTCCTTTTAAAATCATTGGTAGCCAAGAAATGAACAACAAACTTCAGTTTTAGGGCATATTTCTCATTTAAAGAGGAAAACTTAAATTTTCAAATTTTAAAATTTTCCTTTCTTGGAAGAAAAATGCATATAACTGGATTTCTATGAGTGGTAGAAGAACCTTTAATGTATTGTTTTGTAAAAAAAGGTTTTCAGCTGAGAAATAATATTTGGAAATGCATAACCCCTATCTATTCATAACAGAAGTTGAAAAAAAAGTTCCAACAAGCTCCTTTGGATTTAGCCCTAAAGTTATGTATTTTATGTTAGCATCATCTATTTCAGTTCATTGCTATTAAATAGGATTTTTGAAAGGAGCATCCTTTTTTTGTGCTCACCATATATACCCCTTAACATACCTCATATTAAAATCTTTCTATGTCACTTACGGTATAATTGAAAAATTTAGCTTGTTAATTGATAATTTTTAATACTGGACTTCTATTTTATTTTCTAGCTAATTCAAGGTTGTGCTTGGTGGTGTGGAACAATCATTTTGAAATTTTTGTCATCTAAAATCTTAGGAGTTTCAGACCATGTAAGTACTTCCTTGTTAAAACATAAATCTTTCTAAAAATATGGATTAAAAACTTTGAAACAATTATTCCTAACTCTTCCATTTAACAGAGTTTCCCATTTCTTCAAAGTCCCCAAGCTAGTTAGTGTCAGAATCACTAATAAAATCCTGTACTGCAATGATCTTTGCAGCCTTTAGAAAAAAATGTGTCCATGAATATTTACTTAATCTTCTAGGGAAAAAGCTCAAAATTTGTTTTGTACTTACTTGTACTATTTCAGGTAAAATTTAAAGAGTTTGTTTAATAATTTTTCCATTTACTACTTATGTAATATATGAGATATCCATATTCAACTTTAAAATATAGAACTCTTAACTCAATAGTTATTATTATTAATTAATATTAATAGTTATGTTTATTATTATTATGGACTAAAATTAAGATGTGATTAGATATTTTAAGAAGAGAATATTAAAAGTTCTCTGTCTTTGTATCTTCTTGAAAATATATATGGAGCCCTTACCTATATTGTAGCATTTTTGTTTATTTTAAGACTAATATCTTAAACAATGGCCCTTTTCAAGGCCTCAAAAACTAGTTTAGGAACAAAATAATTCATGAATTTACATTTTACTTCTAGCATACTTGTGTATATCCATACAGTAATGTAGTGTGAAATTTACTAAGCAGTACTGTCCAATCATTCAATCAGGGCCTTGTCTGGTACTGAAATTATGTTAGCAAGTGATTATAGTACTTCCTTTAAAAAAAAACTTAGGTAGTGTTCCTGCCCAACACATCATGCGTACATGTTCATGTTAAATACATTTTAAAATATAAGCATTTATTTGCTATTTATTGCTAGATTTGAATGGTGGCTTATTAGGTTGATTAGTTGCTATTGTTGTCTAGTATGTCTGACATATTTCCCCTTTTCCTTCCTTTTTTTAATCATTCTTAACTGTTTATTTCGTAGGGTATATATTTTGTGATAAGCTTTATTTAGACCTTCTGAGTTTTTATTCATTGATGAAGTTGGCCTGTGATTTTGTTTCTTGTCTTGCTCTATATTGTCACCCAGCTATTTGCAAATATTAAAAATAAAAAAGACAGTTATGAGAGACACTTGAATTCTAGTGTTATCTTGGTATTAGTTAATAAGAGGAGCTGTGGATGAGTGACAAATACTACTAACCAACAAACTTGTTTTAAATTTATGTCCCTATAAATAATTTGAATTAAGAGTTTACATGGAAATATTGTCTCACTGACAGTAGGTAGTAAGTCATCAGTAGAAAGAGTAGTTCCACCTTGGGTTTCACTGGTGGTGTGAAGTTTTAAGGCCTTGAAAATCAAGTGAGTAAATAAAGTATTGTGTATAATTGTTGTGATGGCTATGAGGAATACTCTCATATTTAATGGCTTGAATGTATGAGAAATGCCAAGAAGAAAAAAATGTAAACATTACATGAAGCATTGTGAAAATGACAATGCACAGAAAGTTGTTTATGATTTACAATGTGTGGTGATGGTGAAATGAAATTGGCTTTTTCATGACAAGTTAGCTGATTATAAAATCTCATGATTAATTGCATGGTGGTTTCTTCCCAGAAAGCATTGATTTTAGCTTTATCATTATCTCTGCTAATTTTTTCTGACCTTTCTACTTTTCTTTTGTCTTGGTATCTCTTTATTTTGATAAATAAGCACATAAAATATTTGGTTCACTGTATTTTTGTTTGTTTTGGATTAATCTGTGGTCTTCATCTCTCTTATGCCAAATCAATTATTATTGACTATAATTGGTGTAAATTTGATTCATTTTTCTTTATTTCCTTCCAGATTCGCCTGAGTGACCTTATAGCAGCCAGAATCTTACGGTATACAGATTTTGATACCTTAATATACACCTGTGCTCCTGAATTTGACTTCATGGAACAAGCGGTATAAATGACTTTTTTCTTCTTTATAAGCATGATGATTTTTTACTCTTTGGTTTTCCTTTTACTCTGAATCTGAATATTTTTGGTCAGAAAAACCCAAGTTATTTACATTATCATCTTTTACAATAACATTTCTCCAACTGTTTATCTGTAAAATCAGTAAGTAATAGCCCCCATGTTAAAGAATTATTAATGATAGTTAAATAAGATAATCAAGAAAAAGTGCTTAACATACTATATGACCCATAATAATCATTATTATTACAAATCAATTACTTTTAATAATCTAGACACCTTGGAGTTGTGGGGCCATTCAGAAAAGTAAAATCCAAATTCTTAATTTTCCTTTAAAGAAATACAGTTTTGTTGCATTTAATACTCCAAATATTACAAAAGTCTTTGACAGGGTATTGCTAAGAAAGGTGTACTGCTAACAAGTTTTAATGAATATATAAAACTCATTGTAAGTCATAGAAATGCATGGCATTATCCTTTAAAAATGTTCCAAGTAGTTAAGCTTAAAAATACTTGCCTCCTTATAGGATCCTGGGATATAAGAGTGGAAGGCATCTTAGTGATCATGTAATATAATTCACTTGTTTGCAGATTAAGAAAACAAAGCTTGAAAGAGTTGCCTAAAGAATATAGTAGAGCCCAAATTAGCAATGTGTTCTAACGAAATCTAGCATTTCCAATCCAGCACCGTTTCCTCAATCTGAGGCTTAATTTTATTTTTTTCCTTTATTGTTGTGCTGAGTGGGGATACATTGTGGCATTTACATTTCCAAAAGTTCTTACAGTGTATCAAATATATCATACTTGAATTCACCCTCTCTACCACTCTCCCTCATCTCTCCTTCCCCCAATTCTTGGAACAGTTTCAACAGGTACCATTTTTGCAATTACTTACAGGTGTATACATTTGTACTCTATTCATCCTCCTATCCCCTTTCCCCACACCTCTCCCCTTGAGGCTTTATTTTTTATTTGTAGAACATGAAAAGGTTGTCAGTGGATCAGTCCTAGTCTAATAATTCTGAATTAGTTGTAAATATAATAATAATAATGAACTCTTACATTATTCTCTTATCTGATCAGGCAATCATTCATTCATTCAAAAGCTGTAATTGACCATTAATTAATTACCTGTGAAGGCAGTTGCTGTAAGACTGCAAAGAGGAAAATGACTTGGTTCCTACTTTTAAGAAACTTATAATTTAGTTACATGGCAGGTTACTCACTGTCACAATAATCAGTCATGAGAAATACTTACCTGATACTTTCATCCTTTCAGTAATTAGTTTGATAAGCTTTCTTCCTTGTTAGCTGTAGTTTCACTAATGAATTCATTCCCACAATGCAGGAAATGGCACTGTAGGCCCAGGGTTCAGTAAATGCACGTTAAAACTTAATATTACATAAATAAAGAACAAAAGAAAGGAACAAATAATGGACATGACTAATTATAGGTTTATAGTTTTTATCATTAAAATTCTGAATTCCTTTTATAAATATTTTTATAATTTTGATCTTGCATTAGAAAGTGAAAGTTGATAATGATAAAGACATTTTGCTGTTAAGAAATACTCTGGCACTCAGATGGACATAGATTTTATTAAAACTCAATAAAAATACAATTCAATAAATAACTTTTGCACAATTTGCTACATTTCAGACTCCTCTGAGATACACAAAGACATTATTGCTTCCAGTTGTTTTGGTGATTACTTATTATATCTTTAAAAAGGTATTTAAAAATTTTTTATCACTTGCCTTTGGGTTCAAGATAAGGACTTAATAGATTAGAGCTAGTTGCTCAGCATTTCTTTCTCACTTTTAGGATGAATTCTTTCTCTAAAATTTTTCTATTCACATATTTATGTAGTATTATACTTGCTTTTTTTTTATAGAAAGCAACATTATTAAAGCTGTTTGCATTTACTACTTCAAAAGACTTTATCTCTTACCTACTGTATGAGAAAATTAAATTAGCATTAAAGGTATGCTGGGAAGGAGAGTAGTCCTGTCTTGGACAGCCCTGGGAAATGGGGCTGTGCAAACATTAAACAAATAATCCTGCAGATAACTGAAGAACTGCAGTTGTGATTGGCGCTGGGAAAGAAAAGAACAGTGACACCCTCAGTAACTTTTGACATAAAGCACATTCGAAGAAGTCCATCTATTTTGAGTAGACAGGCACAGGAGAAATTTGTAGAGCTCTTAAAAAATCTTTTGCTATGCATTCATGTTTTCACAGTAAAAGAAAGTAATAAATAATTTTTACAATGCCACTTTCACATTTTCTCTAAAAGCCTATTGAATCTGGGCTAGAAAGAGAGACCCTGACTCAAAAACAAACAGACAAAAAGAAAAGAAAAGGGGAAAAATCTATTTAAGTGGCAGTAGTCCTCAAGGTTATTTTTTATAATTTTGAATCATCTTTATTTATATTGATATTGCCTTAAGTCAACATGTATACTTTACTTTTCAGAGATAGCAATAGCATGATTTCCCTGCCACCATGCCCATTGTGGTCCTGGTGAAGTAGTTTCCTACATTTAAAGTCAGATTGCATGTCTTCAGTTCTCATGCCCACGTGCTCACTCCTTTGTTACCACTAGAATATGAATGATTCCTAAGTGAGGAAGGCCTCTCCTCTACTTCCTGTGGTTTCCTCTTGGTCCAGGTCTGTCCAGGATTGGACAGAGTCAGGGCAGAGGAAACGACGAGTGGACAGGGTCAAAGGAGCCCAGGGCTCTCCATTCTCTTGGCTCCCCCTAGCGCAGGGTGAACGTTCTTGTTCTGTTCCATCAAGGAAAACGTCTTACAGGCCTCCGCTTCCAGTAGCGTGAAGAGACAGCAAGTACGGGAGAAAATAGTTAGATCTACAGTTGCTATATATACTTTTAAAATAAGAACCAAGAATCATAAAGACATTACTAGTCCCCCAAAACACTGCAGCCCCAGGTGTGCATGTGTACTAGTACCTGTGTGCAGAAAAACATTTTTCTGTCCTATTGTCTTATTTTTCACTTTAAGCACAATACTGATGCTCACTTAAATTTCCACATGTGTAAAATCACATCTTAGAAGGAAAGAAGGAAGGCATATATAATAGGAATTTCCTGTGACAATATTGAATCTTAAACTCCTATAAATCACTGTTTTCATTATACATACCATTGAATTGGCATTTGCTTGTGTATATGACCATAATATCATGTTACTTGTAAAATAAATTTCTTTTGTCTTTTGTTTTTGTTTTTTGGCAGTATTGAGGTTTGAACTGAGAGCCTTTTGCTTGCTAGGCAGGTGCTCTACTACTTGATCTACATCTCTAGCTCTTTTTTGCTTTGGTTATTTTTTTAGATAGGGTCTTAAGGTTTTGCCTGAGTTGGCCTTGGACCTCGATCCTCCTTACTATACCTCATGCAAAGCTGGGGTAACAGGTGGAGCCACATGCCCAGCTTTTTGGTTAAGATGGGATCTCACTCACTTTTTTTGGCTGGCCTCAAATCGTGATCCTCCCAGTCTTTGCCTCCTGAGTAGCTAGTATTATAAGCACAAGTCATCATGCCTAGCCTAACATTATGATATTAAAATTTCATTTATGTTTCTATGGAACTTGAAACATTTTTCTATGAAGGATGCTCTTGATTCAGTAAGAAAGTTACAATTTCTTAACTTAGATTTCATTTTCAATTAGAGTCCAAATACATGTTTATCATTGAGTTATAAATCATATACCCTTGGAGTGCAAAATTTTAAGTTATCCACAAATTTCTGTTTACCTACTAAAGCCTGGCTAAATTTAGCCTCCACATTTCCTTTTCTTCTAGCTTCTTCACCATCTGGTTCATTTTGATGAGTACTCTTAAGACTTCTGTAGCAGACATTTTGGGTTGAGAGAGAAATCAGGGAAACAGATATGTCCATAGCTGTTTCTGTAATAATAACCCAGAGGTTTGAATGAAATAGTAATATGGCAGGGGGAGAGAGAAAGAGATTTGAAGTCTAAGTTAGTCTTTTAAAACATTAGTAGCCTTTGTGGACCCCTGCCACTCTCTTGGCCAGTAAAAATAAAAGCTTACAACACTGTTAAGTACCTAGCCACATTATCAAAGCTTAGAATTTTAGACCAGAAATGAACCTTTACATGTATTCCTACTCCAACACTTTTTAATAGAACAGGAAGCCATAGTTCAAAAAATTACTTACCTGAGTCATAGGTGGGATTAAACTATTCCTGAGAGCTCATGTTTCCATTAGAAAAAAATACTAATGTATAGGGCATTTATATTAAAGATCAAAGCATTCACCATTCCTTTGAAAAGACTCATTGGTTTCATTCTGTTCACAGACTATTCGTGATATTTCATGTGCCTTATCTATAAACACTTATCTAAGGTAATTATAGTTTTTAAAAAATATTAATTATTAAGTAACTTACTGAAATATTAATTTTTCAAATGAATGTACCACAAGTTTCAGCATTAAGATTAAGAAAGGAGATAGGAACAAAATTTAAATGTTTTCTTTAAAAAGACTATTGTTATTATGGAGTTCTTTTATATATTTGAACTTATAAAATATCTCAAAGTTTAAATTGATCTAGCATTAGAACTTAAATTCAGTAAACAAAAATAAGCTAAAGTTTTATTTGGGCCATGCTTATTTTTCTTTAATTTTCAGAGAAGGGATAATTTGTTTTGCCTAGTATTTATGAAATGTTTTCTACACTTACTGTTAAAACTATTTGTTGTATCACATTTTAGTAGTTTAATTATATTTATGAATTAGCATAATTAACTATTCAAGAGGGTTTCATTGTGGTAATTCCTACATGTGTCCAGTGTATACTGAACAAGTTCACTCCTCTAGTATATTCCTATTCCTCCTCCCTCTCTTTTCAAACAATGACTTATATTTCATCATGCTGTCCATGTGTATGTGTGTGAGTGTGTGTAGCACACTCTGATCTTCTTTACCCCTCAGTATGCTTTCTTCTCCCTTCTCCATCAGTTCCCCGCTCCAGATTGTCCCCCTTTTACACTCATGTCCCATTATTATTATTATCATCATAATCATCTCCATAATCATTTTAAGTCTAGGATCCACAAATGAGTGAGAACATGAGATATTTGGCTCTTTGAACTTGACTTCTCTCATTCAACCAGGTGATCTCCATTTTCCTGCAAATGACATAGTTTCATTTTTCTATATGGCTGAGTAATATTTCATTGTGTATATATACACAATGTATATATGTGTATATGTATGTATACACACACATATATATGCTTATATATATATTTGTTCAAATATAAACCCAAGAGTGGTATGATGGGGTCATAAGGTAGTGTTATGTTTAGTTTATTTTGAGGAACCTCCATCCTGATTTCCATAGTGGTTACACTAGTTTACATTCCCACCAATAGTGTATAAGCATTCCTTTTTTTCCCCCCTCATTCTTGCCAGCATTTATTGTTGTTTGTTCTCATGATGGTTGCCAGTCTGGGGCAAGATGGTATATCTCCACGTACTTTTGATTTGCATTTCCTTTATGGCTAAGGATATTGAACGTTTCTTCATGTATTTATTAGTCATTTGTATTGCCTCTTCTGAGAACTCTGTTCAATTCGTTTACCAATCTGTTAATTGGATTATTTGTTCTTTTGCTGCTTAGTTTTTAAAAATCTTTTTGTATATTCTGGTTATTAATCCTTTATCTGTCGACAGAGATTCTCTTCCCTTGGTGAAGATTTTCTCCCATTCTGTGTGTTGTCTCTTGAATCTGATAATTGTTTCTTTGGATGTGCAGAAAGTTTTTAATTTGATGCAATTCCATTTGCAATTCTTGCTCTTATTTCCTGGAGTCGTGTAATCATCATGCCTGTATATTCCGGAGTTTTCCCTATTTTTCCCCTCTGGAACCCACATACCTGAAGTTTTATTTCTGGTTTGCAGAGACACCGGACTGTGGTATGTGCAATCTACCATCTTGCTATACCATACTTTTTAGTGGTTTTATTAAAGTTATTAGGATCAAGACAAACTGATGTCACAAAAATATAACATGATTCCTATTACACATGAATATGTTGCTACAGGACAAAAGGCACTTGTGAAGAAAACTTTCTTCTGAGGAAAATGTCTCAATTTTTATATTTGTAGTTATGTCTTTTAATTTAATGGCCTTTATTTTTCAGAACAGTTTTAGATTCACAGAAAAATTCTGAAAATAGTTCAGAGAATTTTCTGAACCTCATACCTCATGTTTGTATTTTTAATTAGTAGTGTCTTGTGTTGTCAGAAAAGCTAATTAGGAACTTAACTGCATTTGTTGAAATCATTTCCAAAAAAAGGTCGGTAAAAGACACATTCTATGTTGTTTTGGTCAGACAGACAGAGGCCAGGGAAATGTGTATTGAAGATCTGATAACTCTCCCATAAAGAATGCATGGAGGGACTTGGGTTAGTTAATTGGATAATGTAAAACTGAGGGGTGCATGGTAACTGTATTCAGAGTTGAGAGAGTGTAATGTGGCAGAAGACAAGTTTTAGGTGACCAGTAGGTGAAAGATACTTAAGTGGTGGGCCTGTGTATGTCGGGGGTAGGGGGAACAGAGGGGTCCTTTAAACAACAAATACAATATGCACTTGTAATCATTTGGAGAAAGCAGTCTATCAAGAAAAGTGAGACTATTCCCTTTCTTAGTTCTACTCCTCAGAGGTATTGATTTAAGCATCTTTGTATGTGTCAGTTCATAAAATACATATAGAAATATTTATTATTCTGCAACTGTTACTTTTATGTAACAATGTGTCATGGGTATCTCCCTAGATCTTGCTTATATTCTATAATAGTCTTTATATTTTATTCTTTACTGTCATGATCGGCTACCATGTATTTAGCTATTCCGTATCTGTGGACATTTAGATTATATTTAACTTTTGTCATCCAACCAACGTTAGGAGTAGGGAACAGCCTCATATGCATCTTTGCACACTGAGTATTTCTGTAGCACAGAATATTTGAAATGAGACTGCTGGATTACAAGGTATGCATTTTGCAATTTGGTGAATACTGAGCCATTACAATGGAGAAAGGGCCCTTTTCCCTGCATCTCCATGACAACATTATTACACTTTTAACATTTTTAGGCTTTGAAAAAAGTAACCCATCTTATTTTGTACTTTTTAACCAGTGATGTTTTATGTGTTTTCATAAGCCCATTCACTGTATTTCTTCTTAAAGTAGATTTGTAGTAATTCATGGTTTTTTAATAAAAGGTAACTTTTGTCTATTATTCATACCACATTGTTTCCAGCAGGATATCAGTTTATAGTTTATATATAGTCTTTGCTTTGTAAACTAACATTTTTATACAATCACAACTATACATTTCTGTTTTCTGTGTTCATTTGTTGCTTAAAGCCATTTTCCACACCAAAACATTAAACATTCTTCAATGTTTTATAATTTTTATATTATATACATAGATTAATTTTGTAGTGTCTTAACACAAGACTGCTTAATCTTTTTCTGGTCTTTTGAAACAGCTTTTTGGTGGTACTTGGGTTTGAACTCAAGGCCTGTGCTTGCTAGGCATGCACTCTCCACTTGAATTACTCCTCCAGCCCTAAGACATCAGCCTTTATCATTTACCAAATAATATATATACATATATATTAATAACATACAATATATGTCATATTGTATTGTCCATTTTAGATTCTATTTGTATCTGAATGAAAACAACACAGTTTTAGATATCCCCTCCCCATTTATTGTTACTACTTTTCACATTTGCTTACAAAGTTTTTCCAGATAAACTTTGCAATAAATATCTTCAGGACCCTCTTCCTCCTCTGGGTACCCACCCATCATCCATTACACTGGCTTTAGATACACTGAAAAGAATTTCATCTCTGTAAGACTGAATCTCCAACCCAGGATTATGGTGTGAATCTCCTTATTAGGGTGGGCAGGTCACTTCACCCCTTTGTGCCCCAGTTTCATTATATTTAAAAGTGGAGATAGTAAACACTGACCTCACAAGGTTATTGTGCCTATTAGAGTTAATCCCTATAAAGTGCATAAAGTTGTTGACAGAACAAACCCTCAAGTGTTAGTTACTGTTGTTCTGATTCTTATACTTTCATAAAACTTCATGGTTTTTTGCACGTGTCATATTTTTTAATATGGATTTTTTATGTGTTTTCCCTCTTTTTTGTGTTAAGTATAATAATTTTATATATTGGCTAATTTGTCATTAATGGCTTATAGAAAAACTAATACATATTTTTATCACTTTTGTATCTACTCACATTACCTATCTTTCTTTTTGGTTCTCATCATTTTTCAATTATGATTCAAATTGTTTACAGATGAGAAAACTGTGACATAGTCAAGGTAGTTTTCTCAAAGGCACTATATTAGTCAGGTTTGCATTGCTACCGTTCAGTACCCAAGGAAGCTAACTTTATAATGAGAAAAGATATTTTAGGTCACAGTTTGGGGGCAGCCCTGTTGGTTTAATCTCATGGCAGGAGTGAGTATAAGAGCAAACAGTTGCATTTTGAGTCAGGGAATAGGATGAGGAAAAGGGGAGAGGGATGCAAACTCAGACTTTTATAACAATCTTCTGAGAACGACCAATGAGTCCTACGAGAACTCCTTCTGAAGGCATGCCCCCATCAGGACCTCCCGCTAGACCCTACCTCCCACAAGTTCCACCACACTTCCCAACAGCATCTTTACCCATGGTCCTTTCAGGGGAATTTACCTGTATTCAAGGCTAGCAGGCACAGAGTTGGAAGTAGTGAAATCAGTATTTCTACAAAGGCTTTCTGCTTTAGAAACCTGTTTGCTGCATGGCTGAACTATTTAGGACACTTTTTGCCTACACAACTTCATCTCCCAAATCATGCTAAAACAATCTAGATTATTTTTCTAGATAATGTAATCTACAATCTAGATTCCATTTTAAGAAGTCTCTGAACACTTAAAGACACTAGCAATTTTTGGACTTGACTTCAACGTTTACCAATTTTTTTTTATCCTTTTTAGAGACATAGGGCACATTGTTAATAGATAATTTTTAGAAAAATGTGGAGATGGCATAATTCTTGAGTGTTTTCTTATCTGAACTATGTGCTTATTTTGGTTTTTATTTGATTGATAGATTGTTTAGTAGATCTCGTTGGGTTTAAAGCATTTTGTAGGTAATGCTTATTTCTTTTCTAGCGTTGAGCATTACAAGTGAAGAAACTTACATTAAGATTTTCTTTCTGAATTGTGTCAGATTTAGAGATGGTGTGTGTGTGTGTGAGAGAGAGAGATGTTTATTAAGTCACAGCTATTTTAATATAAACATCTAAATATTTCTTTTTTTTGGTTTCTT